TTTGTGCTTTTAAATGTGAAACTGTATTAATAATAAAAATTTAAAAAATTTTTCTAAAGATTTGTTAACTTTTCTTTTTTGCTGTAATACAGCTAAGTGTTTTATTTGGCAGGTAAGATTCAGATTAATGATGCACATTACAGATATAAGTTTAAAAACCAATAATAGTTTGATTTGTAAAATTTTGGTATAATATTTGAAATAATACTATTTTATACAGTTAATGCCTTTTTCTTTACATCTTTTCACTTGTTTTTTTGAATTTGTTTTCAACAAAAAACTGTAAAAGAAAAGATAGTGTTTTTGGACAGTCTAAATAATTTCTAAAATTTCAGTTTTTATTGCTCGAAAAGAGAAATGACGCTGTACAGTAGTAATGTTGTAAAATTTTCTTTTTTTTTCACCAACTTTTACAGATTATTCGTTGCCCATTTTCTTTACTGCTTCTGCAACAGAAAAGAAACAAGAAAATCTTAGTTTAAGAAGAAACTGGTACTCAGAAGAAACAGTCTCATTGTATAAGTCAAGAACAGAATACTCAGAAACATTGGTTGGTTAAATAAGGAAAGCGAAAATAAAAAAATAAGAAACAGAAATTCTTCTAAGGGTTTTGAAACACTCTGTAATACATTTTCTTTTTTTTGCGTTTTACCAACAAATTCTTTTTTTCTCATATATTTTAGCTGCTTTTTTCACTTTCAGTAACGGCAAAAGATAATAGAATTTGTATTTATTTGTGAAACTTCTTGAAGAACACTTTGTTTTAATTGGAATTCGATTTCGTAATACTAAAACAGGAACCTAAAACAGTGAAATGTCTATTGAAATATAAAATTTTTAAAATCTAACGAGACCATAAGTTGAAAAGAAGTAACTTGTTCAGCTTTCATCAACAAAAGTAACTTATAGAGTTCCACATTGGTGTGCATATGTACAGTTGAATAACGATTATTTTGTTGTACATCAGCATTGCTGAAGCACAGTGGTTCAAAAAGAAGCCGCTTTTTACATCGCCAATGAGTAGAGCGACTTGTTTTTGAAGTTTCTGTATACTATCACAAGTATACTTCATGATCCTGACAAGCATTCCATGATTTTTCCTCTGCCTTCTTGAAAAAGTTTTCTACCTGCAGCTTTTATTGGAAAATAATCATAATATCGACTCTGACAAAAAAATGTACTGTAGTATTAAGCAGTGGTTAGTCTGTATCATTGTCATGCAAAAAATTTTTTGTCCTTTTTTAGTTTTTTGAACATACCATATAAACGTCATAATCATAATAGGAGATTCAATATGAGCAATACTGCATAATTTCTTAATTTATGTCCATAATGCTTTAAATATCAAGCAGACAATTTTGGTCAAAACATGATTTAACATTGGCTATTTTTGCTCTTTTTCTCTATTGAAACTTTTTAAAAATAACACTTAAAAATGACTTGTTGAAAGAAAAGCTCTTTTTTTTCTACCAAATTAATATTTTTTGACCAATTTTTTCTTTTTTTGATAACTCTTCTAAATAAAACTGCTTAAATACGGCAAGCAGAAACAAAAAACAAATTGGAAAAAACAGATTAAGTTAATTTTTTATCAAATTCCTTTACTATTGTAACAATTTTCATAACTTTATCGCGTTTTTTGCTTCACATAACTGGTTTCTAAGTACCAGTTATCAGTTCTTTTTGAACTGCAAACTGCTTTTCAAAAAAAAAAAAAAAAAAAAAACCTTGCCGTTTTAGACGACCTGTCAGGCATGCATAACAATAGAAAATAATTAAAATTTTTGGTATACAAGATTTGTAGGATAAAATCACTGCTTATTTTTTACTATTTAACTTACAATTTCTTCTGATTTTTTAGTAATTTTTAGCTGTCTCTCATGATTGAAAAAACATGACTTCTGCATTATTTCCACTTCTTTAACTGAAAAAGTACACTTTGAAATGAAGATCGTTTTTAGCCATCAGAAAATTAGTCAAGCGTTCAAAAGAGTTTTTACTGGTAAGCAGATTCTGTAAGAGCTGTGTGCCAGGTTTATGAATAGTACTCTTGACCGGCAAGAAAAAAATCAAGATTAAAGTGTCAACAAACGAGCAAAAGTTAAGGCAGACTATGACACGAAAATAAATAACCAAGCTCAAGAAGCTGTAAGTTTACGTTCAGCAGTTTTTCAATATTTTCTTAAATTTTCAAAAAAAAGAGGAATGTAGCAATATGCATCTCACAAAGTTACCAAGTTTTGAAAAATGCTGAAGCATAATCGTTGTCAATAGCCCTTATCAGCGCTTTGAAACTGATTTAGTTTTAAGTAAGGCCACTATTCTTGATAAAAAAAGAATATTGCAGAATATTTGAAAATAAATGAAAACAATTTGTAGATCTCAAGGTATTTGATATAAATAACGAGTATGGGTTCTTATTAGCAGGAAGTAATAACTGGTTATCAAGAAATGCGTTAGTAAGTGCTCAAGTGTTTTGTGATGCAAGTCAAGTCTTGTGAAGAACTCCTTTTTTGGCTTAATCTTTAACAATTTAAGCGTTAAACTTCCACTGCAGCTTGAGGTACCTAACTTAAAAATGTCGAAAAAATCTACCGGTTGAAGCTTCCTGCCTACTCTATTGGGTCTGCAATAATAATAGAACAGTGAAATTTCCAGTAAATTATTGTTCTGAGAGCATATAAGCAAATGCGACTTCTAAATATACAAACGTAAAAAACAGTCAGATAAAAATGACTTTGAAATTTCGTTTTATTCAAATTCTTTAGGAGAGAGACGATATCTGTATCATAATTGACCACTAAAAGATTACGAAACAGAAAACGTTAAAAGTCACATTGCTGTTAACGTTCAAAGTAAGCTTTATAACATCTCAAAGACGTTTGATTAGCTCCATGGAATGAAACTGAAAGACTGATTTGCAGCACTTCAGACCTAATTTTAAAAGTTGCAATATTTTAGGCTTACATTAAAAGAGGAATTTCCGGCTCTGCCAAAATTTGGCTACTGAGGCGTTAAAGAGTAGTTCATTCAAGTTAATTTTGTGGATGCCGACTCTACCAAGTTCAAATTGTAAAGGAAGTTTGAATTGATATTAATGATGACACTAAGAAAGGAGCAACCAGTGGTAATCTTCTTTATAGCGCAACTCTTTTGATTTTGTAAAGAGGATACTTAACTACATAGTGGCGTTCCAAAGAGGCAACGCTTTTTTTTCGATTTTAAAAGTGATTCCAAGGGAAAAAATTTAGCGCTTTAAGTTCTAACTTAGAGCGCTAAATTCTAACTTATTTCAGGTGTTAAATACTTTTAAATCTTTAGTAAGAGCAAACGTTAAAGGATTTTTTTAAAATCTCAGGACAATGCTAAGTCTCAAGACCCTTGTAAGACAAATTCCATCACTGCATTGAGGACCGCTTTTTCAGACTTGTCTACGAGAAGCTAGAACAAGTGCGATTCTCTCCTTTTTTTGACAAAACAGTAACAAGAACCTTTAACTTACACAATTACAAAGTTATCTTTTTCTAGTTTTTTTATTAGATTTTTTCAGTTATTTGAGTGTTCAAAACCGTATCTACTTAATCTGTTTACTTCTTGTATCCTGGTTCGAAAATATAGGTTCTATTACGTGCTCAAAATGACATCTTTCAATGTTTTTTTTTTTTTTGTTATCTAACTAATTCAGCACAGCACCGCGATAGAGAGTGGCTTTTGAAAAATGGTAAAGCAAGAAAGAATGACTCCGGTTTTCTTCTGTTATTCGGCAATTCTTTTGATTATTTTTGAAATTAAGCATTAGAACTCTGGAGTAAATAAAAAACAAACTTTTCTGATATTCTAAAGATGTATTCTCAACTTTTATTACGTGTTGCATGGAGAAAGCTTACTATGTTTAGAAAGATATAAACACAGACGATAGATGCACAAACGAATTTCTAACATGTCTGTTTAAGCCAAAATTTTTTTTAAATATTAGTTTTTTTTTGATACAAAAAGTTTATGCTGGTTTCTTGCTACTTGCAAACTGTTATTAAAAGCTTTCCATAAAGAGTAATTTTTTCTGCTAGTGTCATCCTGTTAACACAACACAGTGGGAACAACCATGCAAATCACCGCATTCTTATCTCCTATCACTGAATAAGCTGTTTATCAGTAAGAGTTTCAAAATAAAATGTCATTATTCAAATAATTTTATAATGTAAAAAATTTTAAAGATATATCAGCATTGTTAATAAGAACAAACAAAGCAAAAAACTAGTTAATCAGAAGCCATATGTACAGCAAAGTATAAATACTTTTAAGAAGTCTTCGGAGAGCAGAAGAAGTTTCTATAGTAGTTTGTAGATGCAGATCCTAGACCTTATCAAAGTTTATTTTGATCGTTTTGACGGTAAGGAAGTTACAGTAACGAAACTTATACTGCGGAGGAAATAACTGGAATAACTCTTTAAGAGTATCAGCAAACAAAATTAAGCATGCCGGTTTTCATGAGAAAAAAGATAATCTTAAATGATGCAAACAATTTCTGAAGCGTGCTGTTCTACTTCAGAATAACAAATCGTATGTAGTTGAACAGGTTACTTGAGATAAAATCAGAAATCAAAAATGTGCACAGATTCTGTGATGAACAGTGTGGAATATTTATTCATCGTGCTATGCTTGGTGCCGCCGGTATACAGATTTCACAAAGCGGCGGTTACGCGTCATATTCACGTATTATTGTTGGATTATGATAATACACTTTTGCACTGTAGCTATCATCCTCAAATATTTCTGGAACCTTTGCGTATTCCACTATTACCACAGGTTTTTTTCTGCAGAGGATTGCTGTTATTGTTATGGCTACCATCACCAAAAGAACTATTCCAGTTGCATAGAAAGGAGACAACGGAAGAATCGCTATCAGTCTTGACTGATCTTCTAAAAAAGTAATTAGTTTGTCTTCATAACAAGTAAAGATGTTTGTTTTTACTAACGTTTCTAAAAACTGATTATATTTTCGTGCTATTGGTTCCAAAACAGTGTTAGTAGAGGTATACTGATTGTAATAGCACATACTCTATTGCAGAATACAGATTTTTTCTAAAGCTTTGAAAATACACAAACCGGAGCATTTGGAAGAATCGCTGTAGAATAAAGATTTTTAAGTTTAGTTCTATTTTATGCGACAAAAATGTATAATTAAAATTTAAAATTTTATAATCTAAAAAGAATTTGAGGTTTCCCGCAACAGGTTTGTAACTGTAACAGAGATGATATAATTGAAGATTAACCAGGACTCCTTCTTGAAAGTGATGAATCTGATTCGAAGTCGACTTCACTGTTAAGAAGAATGCCCTCTAAAAGTTACATTTACAGATAAAGCTGGAGAAAAATTATGACATCGTACGCATTGCACAGCTCCTGCAATATACGATAGAAAATCACGTCTGAAAAAAAAAAAAAAAACAGAAAGACGCATTCTCTACTTTGTTTGAAAAAAGCAGTTACTATCTAAAACTTTCACTTTAGCAATTTCAAAAGAAAAGTTGTACCATTTTAATTTTTGCGCAGCTTGTCAAAAAATGCAGTAAAAATGGTGCAAAATTTCTGAAAACTTTTTTTGTTTTGAAGCAGAAAAAAAATTTTTTCCGTTTTGCTGTTTACTGAATGAAATAAAGCTGTCGTTGATTTCGGTGTTTGTCTTATCTTTTTAATGCTTCTTTATTGTCTTTTAAAAAAAGTTTTTTTTTTTGAATAGGCATTTAATATTTTTGGTAAAGATCAGGGGACTTACTTTTATACTTACAAACCACAGCATATTTGGAAAGGTATGAAGTGTCACTCCACCCACTAGGCTCACTAAATGCATTAGAAGCTTCTTCTTCCGGACAGCAATGATTTGGTTCACCGTGTTTCCAGTTTAAAAATGACGGACTTTCTTCGGCTTTCCATACCCAGCTTCCTGACTCGAGTACAAGAGAGAGCCAAAAAGGATGAGAACTAGCAAGACCTAAATTGTCTAACTCTCTCAGCTGTTGCACATTTCAAGGGAACAGAACAAAAGTGAGACTAAAGTCTTTTATTTTTCAGTATAAGTTTAGGAAATTGACACAGCTAGCTATTAAAAAGCTTTACCGTTCAAGAATCCTTGCTCTTTGGAAGAAGTAACCCATACTATATCAGCTCCATTCGCAAGGCAAAAATTTTGAGCAACTTCATATGCTACTCGTTTAGTTTCCTGTAATATCCTAATTTTTAAAACAAAAAAAAAAAACAAATTGCAACACAAATTTTAAAGATCATCAATTCCATATGAATCTTTTTTCTAAATTTTCTCTTCAATTTCAGAAATTGGTATAATTTGATACAAAATTTTCAAACGTTTTCCTCTTCACTTTATGAATAGTTTCGCAATCATATAACTTACAATATTGTAGCAAAAGCCTTGAAATTCATTAAACCCTGGTCTGCAGCTTTCCAATGCTGAAATTCTTAGTCAAAGTTAACAATTATGTGAAAACGGATTCTATCAACCATTGTTGGTAATATTCATTAGTACCCGAATAATATTCTATTGTCGCAACAACAAGTCAATTAATCTTTCCAAAGCATTTTTTTTATTGTAAAAAAACTCATGGGAATGGTAGAAGAAATAAATTTATCATATTTTAGTTTATGCCAGATCTTGCTCAAATACCTTAAAACGTACGATCAAGTTTGCAGAGAGAGCTTGAATCCAATTCACAACTGGATCGTTCCCAACTACCACGTTCAGTAGCACGCATACACTTTTGTACATCAATAATAATTTTTGATAGACCGTATTTGCTCCAAATACCGTAATCAACATTTTTTGCATCTGTCCATGCCCATTCCTGGTTCACTTGTTTCAGGCCTATCCACCAATTTGTTCGTGGAAAACGGTCTAAAGAAATCTCCAGTACAGATTAATCCTTAAAAAGGAAAGACAGCTTCTGAAAAAAACCATGATTAATGCGATTACAATAAGAAGTGTTACGTATATTTAGCAACATAAAGTGCTTTCCAGTTATTCTAGTAAATTACGAAAAATTAAGTGCAGCCATGTAGCTAGCTTGATCACGGTTATTAGAGTTCGTCTAATCTCAAACAGTTGCTTAAAATGCATCAGAAAGCATGACAAACGATTAGACAAATAAATTAATTACTTCGTATATTCTTAAATTGCTGTACAGATGAAAATGATGCCAGGTGACTCCCCAAAATTTCACAGTTTCGTTCAGCTTCTTCAAAGGTCATTGGTTTAAGCACCTAAAAAATATTTTGATGAGAAACACAATTCACGCATGTTTTTAACAACCAAAAAGAGTTATTTGATTCTTAAGCAGAAATTTTTAAAACTCCAGCAACTTATTTTCTGCTGTTCTTCTCAAGATTCACCAACTTTCATTATCTTTTTTATACAACACTTCACACCTAATTATTTGATTACTCACTTCTTGCATAGACAAGATTAAGTCGAGAAGCGAAGCAAGAACGAATAAAGAAGAGAGAAGAGAAAGAAAAAAGAATGTTGAAACAAAATTTAAACATAATTTGATGATTTCGTTCATTCGATGAGTCTGAAACAAAGTTGACAAAAAAATTAGACAGTTTTACAACTTTTCAATTATAAAGAAATTTCTTCCCCTCTTGCTTTTCCATCTTATTTTTTCTTATTCTAGATAATTCTAGTACTTAATCATTCTACATGCTACCTTCTATTGCTTATTGTAATAACGATATAAATTTAAGCTGTGGAAATAAATTTTAAATTTCCAAAATGCTAGGCATTAGCGGCAATGCCGTCGCTGCTAGCTTAGCAGTAATGTAGACCAGCCACCTAACTAAAGGTGCATGAAATGCTATTTAACAATTGAAAAGCTGTAGTTTAATTTACCCTCCAACTGGCAATTTTAAAAAGCAACGGTAACACCTTGAAATGCGGGAAGAATTTGATAAAGAGCAGGACACACGACACCAGAGGTCCGAGTTGTTTCAAGTAGCTGTTGGCTGTGTACGGTACGTTAAGGTCGTGTATGAATTAGCCCATTAGAGTATCTCACAGAAACAGGAGTGGGAGATCGGTCACTGTAATGCAGGTCTACTACAATAAGGTCATATCGAAGCCTAACTCGCAAACAGGATAATTGCGGTAGTTGCCTGAATCTTCTTTAGAGTACTGAAGAGAGGAAAAATCTTTGAAGCACCGTCTTTGTTCAAAAACAGCGAAGCGTCGTTAGGCTTGGGTGCTTAAGCGTTTTCAAAACAGTTTGATGGAAGTCGTCCAAAACGATGGGCAGCGAAGTTAATGTACTTCTAATCAAAGACCTCGTCATTCTGAAAGAGCCCCTGTTATTCTATGAAGTATAGCAGTCAGGCAAAGCCGCCTTAGGTTGCTGCGCAACTCTCAACAGCTCTTTTTGCTTTTTTTGCTTTTGCTCCGAAGAAATATCTGATCGTGAAAATTATCAAAATTTTTGTTTTCTTGCTACATCATCCCTTTTTCAAGTCTATGCGCGCTAATGTGCTACAGCCGTAACTTCGTCATCTTTTCTTGTTCTAATACAACTTAAAGTTACAAAAGACGTTTCAGAAACAAAAAACTTGTAGTGTGATGTTTCATCAAAAAACAATCAATAATGATCTCTTTAGATTTTATTGGAGGAGCCGTCTTACCAGTTTAAAGCAAACATTTTCTTCTTCGTGCCAATCTTGAGGACACAAATGTTTTCCTGCAACGTGTTAGATGATTAACTTAAATAACATTTTCATTAGTGACAAGAAAGTTTTTTCAGAAGTTTTTGCAGCCATTTCTTAGTAAAAATGAAAAAATTTTGGGAGAAATTAAGATTAAAGATAAGAATTAGGTTAGATGGTCATCCAGACAATCACCCGCTGAGCGTCATTAAAACCTTTGGTTTTTTTTGTGCCATGCCTGCGCAGAAGCATGCAACTGTTTTTGCTTTTTAAAGAACGAGTTTGAAGTGGCTAACAGGGAAGTTGTCGGTCAGAAAAGTGGCCACAAACAAACCGCAGTCTTATAATTTGAACATAACATACTTTACAAGCTGTTTTTCAAGCCTCCAACAATGACCGGGTTATCGTTTAGCTACTAGTTATGATAGCTCTTGCTATTCTTTTATGTTCAGCAAGGTCTTGTCGGCAATTTTAGGTACTGACCTGAAATAATCAAGTATTCTGCCACATTTCAGCGTTACTGTAGTATAGTGGCAACACTTTCTTGACTGGATGAAGGAGACTTGCACTTGCCCAGGGAGTAAACTCACAGTAACTGGTATCATAGCACTTCATCGAGAAAAACTGTCTTTTGCAGAATTCAAAATTTAGTTTTATGCCTTTACTAACTCAGAAACATATTTTTTGAATTACAGTGTTAATACCTCTATGAGCGAAACTCTTTGTTTATATAAGTAATTTACCTATTCTATAATAAAAATGCCAAGAGTTTTCTAATTTTTAGGATTTTAGGAGCTTGAGACGTATTGCTCATCGTTTTGCAATTTCCTCCACTACCAGATGTAATCAAACATACGTATTATAATTCTGCTGTAAACTTAATTATTCATAAGTCTTCAAATCTTTAAGATGTTAAATTTTTGCACTCGGTTTCTTCCTTACTTGTTTCATTTGAGATCATTTATGAAGTTTTTCACGGTTATCAGTTTTGTTGATTTTAACCGTTTTATTTTTGATATCAAGAACGATGTTTCAAACTATATTAGAAAATAATCAAACAATTAAGTATATGAATTGCAATAAAATAACGGATTTTAAAAATAATCGTTAACTGCAAAATCGTCTTTAATTTTTTGCCTACTTTCTTGAGTCATTTGCTTTACATATATTTTTATATTTCTACATTACTTAAAAAAGCAGTTAATTGGGAATAGCAATGAAAAGTAGAGCTCAAAGAGATTACACCGTTTTAGAACGCCTCAGTGATTACTCCAACCTCAAGTATAAACGAATGGCAAGGATATATGATCAAAATCGACAAGGTTGCACTATGATCGGTGGCCACTGTTTTACTAATCAATTTCAAAGTTGGTGACGCTCAAACCCTGATTTTGGTTACGGATTTGAATGTGACAGTGGTCACTTTCAAGCTTAGCCTGGTCTTGCTGTTAAGTTTAAGTCACTGAACTGATCGTAGTTAGGCAGTCTCCAAAAAAGAAGAATGTTGAATCAATTTGTGGTTGAGTTCAGCGGATGATCATCAGGCTGATCTTCTGAAAATCTTCCTGTCTTTCGTCAGTGTGTAACTGCTTTTATAATTGATTCTCTCTTTTTTACTAAAGCTTTTCTTCTTTTGCTAAAGATCGTAAATATTGGGTTTACACCGCAAGCCTAATTTTTATTAAATTTGAGATGCTTATTTGTTACAGTGGCTATTATAAATGTAACCTATTGTGTAACAGATTTTACCGCAAGTTAAAAAGACTTTAAATATTAGTTTTAGAAATCAAAAATGTGATCAAACACTTCAATGATTAGTTAGTAACTTAGTAATTCACTATCCTTGTTCTATCATTTTTGATTTGCAGAGAATATTAAGTGAACTAAAAGTCTTAATTGGTCAACTGGTAAATGTTTAAATCTTAGAGATCGCGCAACTTTGGGACTTAAACTCGAAAGACACCAACAAATACCTTTTGCCCATTATACATCTGTTGCAGAAGAACGTCAAAAAAGTCAAAACAACCACAAAAATAGTAAATTTTAAACTCAAATGCCAAAAAACCGTATTCGGTTAAGAAATGCATCGTATGCCCGGAAGATAGCTTGGAGTATGGTTTGAAAAATACAGTAAAACAATTTTTTTACGTAGTCATTTAAACACTGCTTGTATACTTAGAGATCTGTGATTAAAACATTCCTGTATGCTCCAATAATGAGAAGGCTTAAAAAGTATCAGAAATATTGCTCAAAAATATGTTGTAATTAAGTTAAGCAACAGTGTTCTTAAGCTTAACTTAACGTATTAAGCTGTTAAAAGTAGAGTTGCTTTTGAAGCATTAGCACTTCGGGCTATAAGAAATGAATTTGCAGTTAGTGGTTTTGTTCCCCTATCCGTACCCTCTTGGCAAAATCGCTTTGGTCAAAAAACTCCACTTAATTGGAAATTTTAAGTGGCAAGTTTAAGAACCTGTCAATATTTTTTGCGTTTTATGACAATACAGAAAACAACAGTAATTCGAAAATTCAGAAGGCTTCAAGCTTTAAAGCTTTTTTAGCAGTTACGCTTAAAAGATTGAAATGATTATATGAGAATTAAGAGGCTCAACAGTTACTGCCATTGTCTATTAATCTGGAACTTGATTACTAATAGCATTCATTAGTGCATGCACTTGACCAGTAGTTTGCACAACTTACCTGTGTTTCGAAACCGCAAACTTTTTTTTCAGAATTTTCGGTTTTTATTCAAGTTGTTTTTACGTACCCCAGCCATATCACTTTTAGCTTATAATAAAAGTTAGAAAGTCTACTTACTCAACTGATAAGTCTTAAAAAACAAAACAACGACGGCTCTCCTCAAAAAACCTAAAATTTTTTCGGCTATATCTTCTGTTAATGTTACCTCATAATTCTAAGTATAACAGTTTACGTCTTGATAAACCAAATATTAATTTATTATTAGTCAATCATAACGTGTTAGAGATCAGAAAATGAAAAGCAGAAAAATGAACAAATACTGTGGGGTTTTTAGCACAGCTTTTCCAGTTTTTCAGACTAGCTTTCTGATTTTGCAACGATTATATAAATGAAAAATATGGAATAAAGGAACTAATTGTATCAAACAAAAGAGATTAACTTTTTAGATTAAATAGCTTAATGGTACACTTAAAGAATGTCTGCTTGGCGGCCATCACAATTTTATCTTACTCTTAAAATCTAATTTAGCTTTTCTTTGAATAACTACCACTTTTTTGACTTGAAAAACTTTTTTTACAAAATTTTCAAAGCCTAAAGAATTAGCTTAAAAGAGCATAAAACTTGATCTCACTGCGTTTGATTTAAAGTGCCAAATACGGAATTAAATACAACTTTTTTAAAGGATCATTTTTATCTGTTATGAAAGTCTTTTAGCAGGCTTAATTTTGTTGCAAGTAAAACAAGAAGTCAAAGTAAGAAAACTCAGTTAAAAAATTTTCAAAAATATTTAGGATTTTCAAAACGCATTTAATAAACGCCACAGAATCATTTGAGGTGCACAAAACAGGGTTCTTTTGCAAACGGAGTTCAGGTGAGCTATAAATAGCACTCAAAGAAAAGTTTTTAAGTAAAATATTGTGAAAGCCTTTTAAAAAGTTGGTTTTTTACCTGATCCCCTTGCTTTCTTTCATATAACTTCAATTTTACAGGTGAAAATCACTAACTATTTCATTATCTAGTACTACTAAATCCTGCAACAATTCTGTAACGTATTTATCCAAAAACTTCAAGGAAATTTGACTGCCCAGTTAAGCAGCAGCTTGAAACTGGTTTGTTGTGCATATTAACTTAGATGTTTTCATTCTGGTTTGGTACCAGTTACGTTACTTTACTTCGACGGGTAAACAAATGGTAATCTTATTGTAGTTCTAGATTAATAGAATTTACAGGTTATTCATGGAACAGAATACTATTCAGTTTCAATCTAACCGTAGTGAGCCTGTCCCCTTAGCGATCGAGTCTGAATGAATCATCATATACATTTTCAAACGCTGTTTGCCAGCACTTCAGAACCACAAAAATTGAAAAAGGTTTCCGAATAGAATAATTTTATAAGGTTTACCTCCAAACCAGTAAAAGATTCGTTTGAAAGTTCCTCTACTGGTTTAAAATATTTCTTGCACGCAAATCTTCGAACTGTTCCTGAGTCCGTTAATAATATTGAGCCTAGAATACCATAAAAATTTACCTTTTTTTTCAAAATTTGTTTGAATTTCTGAGCAATCTTAAAAAGCATGACCAATAAGCGATAAACCGGAAATTTCTGGTGAGACCTCTCAAAAGCTGAAATTATTTAACACTAAAGAATAACTTTTGTATTCTTGCAAAACTCGTTTTAATGACGAAAACCACATGCCGACAGTTCAGTTAACCTCTGTAAAATATTTGGTGCTATAATGAACTTTATGTACAGACATTTTTTACGAAGTCCTACGATTAGGTTTCTGTCAAACTGATGAGTTAGTCTCGTAGAACACAACTTAAGCCACAAAAACATTGTACGTTTAATTTGCATTTTTCTAAAATGCGAGCATTTTTCGGAGTTAATAATGGCGTTCTGATAGCTCAAAATCCTATTTCATTTCCTACAGCTCATTTGTTTTACACCTGTCTAACAGTTACGACTAATATTCATTTTATTAAATAAATGGGTGCTATTGTTTAAGATTACAAAAATATTAACTTCAGGATAGAATCAAAAAAAAAGTCTTTTTTTTTTTGAAAACAAAGATCGTTCAGATTTATGCCAAATGATCTTTACGAAATCTAAGAGTTAGAGGTAAAATGCCAGAATAGAAGTCATAACAAATGAAAAATGGTAAAAAATAGTAGCGCGTTAAAGACACGTTTCAATACTTTTTCCAGAAAAACTTAACTTTATTAGACACCGTTTTTACTACCTCTAACAATGGCTAAAAAGACTATATTATCCCAGAGACAACAGTACGATCAAAAAAGCGCTTAAATGCAGTTTTGAGAAGACCTCACCCACTTAAACTCTCTATAATTCATGTATACAATGATTAATCACATAAATTTTACATCAAAGTTTCATTTATTCTCTAAAGCAAAAATGCTAAAAAAAGTGCTCTTTTTTTCCAAGTTTTAATGCATTTAGGTTTCCACAGATTACTATACTCATTAACATAAAAGGTTGCGCGTGCATGGAAAGTTTTAATTTTATAGGTGATTTTGAGCCAGCTGCAAATGGTTTAAGAACTCTGAAATCCTGTTCGAAGTTTTGCATCAAAGCATTGAGCCTCTTGTTGCTTTGGGAATTGCATAGGCTATATATTAATCGCCACATCAAATCTCATCTGACGTAGTAATGCATCAAGTGCATAACTGTGGTTTAAAAGCGTAGTTTAAACCAAAATGGCTTCAATTAAAGAAAAAATTTATAAATATTACTGAAATTGATATATAGGAACAGAGTTAAACTTAACAGCTTAGAAAAATAAAGTTAAATTATTGTTTAAAAAGCATGTTTAGGAAATACTGCAAACTGCAAAAGCTTCAAAAAAAAAAAAACAAGCGCTTTTCAACCGCTAAGTAGTCACTGCAGTAAGCAGGTAATTCTTTTTGCAATAATAACTTTCAACTCTTTCTTAAACACATAACTTCTGAATTTGGAAGTGTTTCAATTCTAATTTCTGCAGCTGAATTGGTAATAAATCTATGAATCTACTTCAAACATACTTTAAATTTTCATTTTAACTGTTTTATTTTTTAAAAATTCTTAAACAAAACATGATGTGCCATAGGATTTATGAGCTTCACAATTTTTTCAAAACTTTGTTGCTCAAGCGTTAAAGTTTTTGAAGGCGCTGTTGTCAGTTACCAAAGCAGTTGATCACATTCTCTTCTTTTCAACTTCAAAATCCTCACTTTCATTCTTTTGAAGCCATTAGAAAGTAAAAAGCTTTATTGTTCTTTCATATTTTTAACATTTTAATAGCACCCTGTAAATTTTTCTCAAGAAAATAAAAGTATTACTTTTATACTCGCAAATAGGAAGAAACTTTGAAGTTTCATGAAAAAGTTCGAAACCATCAGGTGTTATTGCCACGCGGAAATTCGGTTGAGGCTTTTTAAGTGATTTTAGAGTGTACTGACGTCCGTTTCCCCAAAAATAATTATTATCTTGGTAATCAAGCCCAATCCAGTAGTTTTGTCTCTTATCGTTGGGAATGTCTAAATTTTCCCAATAAATTTTGCTGGATAATTGCGAAGAAAGTTACTACTGCATTTCTTTTACAGGTACAATAAGGTAATTTTTAGAGATCAATAACAGACTTACCAAGAAATTTGACTAAAGAATTATCATCATACAGTGTGGCTAATCGAGATCTCTCCATTGTTCTGCAATACTCCGAGCTCTGTGAGTAAGTTAACTTCTTTGTACCCTGAAAAGTAGTTCCAAAATTGTTTTAAATTAAAATGTGTTAGTGAAATTACAGTGTTGACCTACATTTTAGTTACTGTTTCTACAAGGCACAAAGTTGACGACAATATTCAGGACCTTACTTTTTTGTAGCAAACTCCATCAAGATAGGTCCACAGTGGGCGGCACAGATATTTGATGTCTGGCAGTTAAAGAACCATTATAAAATTTCACGTAAAACGAAGAGATAAAGCAGTAATTATAACGTTACTAAGACAATAAACTAAAAACTGATCCAAGAACGAAAGACTAGTCGGAATTAAAGTCGAGAGCTTGATATTTTTAACAGGCTTTTTTGATCTAAACCCATATGGAAACCATTTAGAGTTTTGCACAATATTAAGCTTTTTTAAAAGCAAAAACGCTTTTTCTCCAGCAGTGCTTTTAATACTACGTTTTTTGTATTATGCGCAAAAACTGTTTTCGGTAGTACACTTTTCATGGTTATGTATCCTAGCGTCGATTTAAAACTCAACTGCTATCGTATTACCAACGATCGTCAGATCTTTTAATTTTTGCAAAACCTGTTTTTGATTCCATAGCAACAAAAAACGTATCAGCAAGGTGGGCCATTGTTAAAGTGTTTATATTAGCATCCGCTAGATGCTGCACAAGCTCCTTCTCCACTGGACCGAGTGTAACACGAGGTTTTCCACGTTTAATTGAACTGTAAAAATGTCCTAAAAGTATAATTTTTGAAAAACAAAAAAGCGTTTATTTTGCTCCTACAAAATAAAACTTTTTGAACCAGATTTAATAACATGATTTTTTTCCTTTTTAAAATACAATGAAAAACCGGCAAACACAGCAAACTACCTTCTTCTAATAGCACATTAGCTAGTCCAATTTTGAGTCAATGAGGATAGTTCGAAAAGCCGAAGAAAGGCATTTAGACAAATATTAAAGTAAGGTTGAAGAGAATAATCTGACTGAGTTAAAAATTGAAAGAAATCTGGGATAAATATTGAGTTGTTAAGTCAGATTCGACGTGCTTTGAAGTTCGTAAATTAATTTTGAAAGTGTACTGTAATGTTGTAAACTAATGCGGCCAAAAAGGTTTTTTATGCTTTGACTTGTTTAAAAGTGAAGACAAATTTATTTGTGGCAGACGTGGGTTGAGGGTCGATCTATGTTACTGCACAAAAAAAATACACAAACACCAGGTTTTCCAGGTTTAGCTGAACTGTAAAAATGTCCTAAAAGTATAATTTTTTGCAAACGAAAAAGCGTTTATTTTGCTCTTATGAAGTAACACTTGTTGAACCAAATTTAAAAACATGATCCCTTTGCTTTTAAAAATATAGTGGAAAAGAGGAGAACGCAGCAAAATACCTACTTCTTTATCAACTATTCAATTAAGAGATGCTTAACGAATAACTGTTTGCCATTTTTTCACTTTGAAAGATTGAGTAAAGTTTGAATTTCAAGTGAAATCGACAATGACTGAAAATTCTTCTTTGTACAACATAGGTTTTGATTTATAATGTGTGTTAAGGTTCTTATAGCTTTTGTGCTGGTGCTCAACGAAAACACCAAGTCAAATAATAGCGAGGAACACCTTTAAGTGTTTTTTGAATTAAGCAAGCCAATTTTTAAGCCATTTGATTTTAGAAGTGACCAAGAAAAAAACTAAAAATTCTTGGAAATTTTTGTTCCATAATTTATAAAAAATCAAAATTATGAGTAAACCTTACTATAAGCACTGATTTTTTATACCATATTCGCTGACGTGTTCTGTACTGTAGTAAATAACCAAAAATTTAAGCCAGTAACACAAAAGTTTCTATGTGCTTTACAGGCTATACTCCTCATAAATTATTCTAAGTAGGCAACTCAATTATTAGCGACAAATAAAAAAGAATTTGGAGATGGAGTTCTCATAAAAATTACCGTGTAAGAAAATGTACTCCCTTATTGGAGGAAAGGATAAAAGGCGACCTTTGAAAGCATTATGGCAGTACTTTTGCGAGGAAGCCAATGTAGTAGTTTTGCCATCTTTTGTCTAAAAGATTAAAAAATTATTGAGAAGAAAAGTACTTATTTTACACTCTGTTTAGAAAAGAATAAAGTGATCTAATTCTTTATCCAGTGACAACTTTTTTCTCCGAACTTTTCTGCAAGAAAGAAAGAGAAACTTGAAAACTTACACCGACATCAATCAAACAGTAATACCACTTTCCATTACTCTCGCTGACCACTACAGAATCATAAATGTTATAGTTTTCCTCTTCAGAATACCAAGGACACTTCGTAGAAGTAACCACGTCTGCAAATTACATTAAAACGTCTAACTTCTAAGCCTCGCCCAGTGTCACTGCCAAAATAAAAGTAAAATGAGAAGTAATTCCTAAAGAATGTGGCAAAACTTCATTAAACTTTCATTCTTAATCTACCTACTATTGTCTATAGATTACACTGGTCATGCAGCGAAGAAAAATTCTGGTCAAATAGACATGAAATGTTTAAATACAGCTGAAAGATGTATCAAAAATCTGTAAAAACTCAAAAACATACGAAAAAATTGTTCAAATTTTTATAGATAATCTCTCGATGCTTACCTTTCATCTCTTGTATAGTCCTACTCGCAAATATTACTTTTAAACATGTTTCTTATTAGCAAAACAGTTTAATTACCTGTCAACTAATGCTTAGTAAGTTCTACTGATTAGAATAAAATAGAATTTTTTTATAAAAAAATTTTTTTCACTGCTCTTTTTATGACTGAAATTAAAAATTCCAATAATAAGAAAAGATAAAAAAAGACCAGATTTTTAAAGAATTTTTTTTTAAAAAAAAAGTTTACTACCACCATAGAGCTGTAATGCGTAACGTGGTAAAAAATTGGTAGAAACAATTTTTCATTTATTTTAAGGGCGTATATTTTTAATAACTTTTATGTAGATTTAAAATTGCTGAATTGTTTCTGTATAAACAATTTTACCACTTGAGTATTTTGCTTTGAAAAAAAAAAAAAAAAAAAAAA